TTCCAGGGAGCACACATTCTAGTAGAAAGTCCCTGCATGTATTCTTTGAAAAATAAAGAGTGGGACTTGTGGTTTGAACTCACGTACTTGACACCTAGATGGTAGCCATTGGTCAAGATCTGGTGTAGCACTGCTGCCAAGTTAAGCGTGTAACATTTGTGAGCTTTGACAGACTACTAATGGCTGAGTCACAGGACCTCTCACCATGGTCTGGAAAGCACTCAGGACTCCCTGAGTCTGCTATTGAGCTCAAGAATCCCCAGTTCCCCACACTGGTAATCTGAGTCAGATGAGCATGCATAGCCCTTTTTGTTAGCACAAAGGAGCACATATAGGAGGGAAGAAGGAAGCATGTAGTGAGACAGACAGACAGAGGCACAGAAAGAGACAGTGCATGCATCTGGGGAGTTCATGCCTATTCCCTTAATAGCTCAGGCTGCCTGAACAACAGACTGGGAAACCCCGTGCACACAGTGTGGAGGCTGATGTAGCCCTGCACACTTCCACATGTGCGCACATGTGATGCTCATGACTGACCCCATGCTACCAGACTGAGGCACCTCAAAGGATTTCTGCCTCCTGAAAAATAAGTCCTGGCCAGTGTCCATATGGTATAGGGAATAGCCCTGACCTCTCCTGCTTTGTGACCTTTGCTGTGTGCTGGACTCTTGATGATCACTGCATGCACAACTTCCTGTACTGCTCCCTGCTGTCCTTACAGCTACAGTGCACCTAGGGAGAGGAGGTCCACAGCCAATGCTCACTCAACCACTGGATGGCAGCACAGCAGCGCCATGTCTCTGTGAAACCCACTGAAGGAGCAGGGAATGTGTGCTGAAGGGGAACACAGGAGCGAGAGCTTCCCCCAGCTTGCTAGTCAATCAGCATAATTTCACGGATGTGGGGAAGGAACTAACCTACGTAGGACTCAGCATGGAACTCATGCTTGAGTCAGTACATTGTCACGCACAACTTTAAGGACTTTTGTATGTGTTGAACACTTAAATTAGTCCTGAAAATGAAGAAAGGCAGGGAAGGAGGCTTCAATCTTCTTCTACCCAGTTTTATATGGTTTGGGTTAACCTAGGAACTAGAGAATCCCTTTGTAGGAAGATACAAATTAAATAAATACAAATAAAAATCTTGGCTCCTACCAGACTTGACTCAGAACTGAGCATCTCTGGGAGACCTACAGACTTGAGCTGACCTGAGTCCACAAAACAGGCACAAAATCTGCTGCATGGCATTGTCTGATGGGATGAAGGCAATTCACAATTCTGGGCTTCAGAGTCCACCCAGACCTTATTCCTATACGGGTGGCCCAGAGCTTCCTGAGTCCTCAGGTCAAGGCAGTAGGGCATCGCCTCCTCTATCTGTCTCTCCCTGTTACCTCTCAGTGGGCTTTGCCAGGATAGAACTGTAAGAGCAGTCCTGAAGTGAATCAGCAAATAATGCCTTGGAAAGATAGAGAGGCAAGGATCCCTATAATGTGGAGAGTTTTTTGGGCACAGACCATGACAGTGGAAGGTGAACAGGAGGTGATAAGCTCACATGCCCAGCACAGCTCTTGAGACCTAGCAAACCTGGTGCCTACTATGGGGTGATGTTTAGCAATCACTCCATTCCACTCAAGGCTAGTGTCAGCTGGGCTTGATCGAGAGACTGGGAGGGTCTCGAGCTACCTACTTCCCTTAGCAGAACGGTGGGAAGAGGAGGAGAGGAGGAGCAAAGGCAGGGCACATTCCAAAGCTCCTATAGTCTGGAGCTTTAGGGTCCAATATTAAAATGTGAATGTTCAGCCATGTGTGGTCCTGCATATCTGTAATCCCACCTACTCAGGAGGCTGAGGCAGGAAGATCACCCTTTAGAAAGACCCTGTAACAAACTAAAACATGAAAAGGGCTCCTGTCACAGAGATGCTGCCAAGCACATAGCAGCCTCCTCCTTGATCCCCCTACTCTCCCCATGCCCCATCACGCCTGCCTCCCTTCTCCTGAACCTACCATCCACAGGCTGTTCCCGTGGAGGAGAAACAATCACACAGTTTGTCCTCTGTTCAGAACCCACAATCCTGGGCTCATGTGCTGATGCAAATAATGTTTGAAGCCTGCACATGGGACAGTAAAAGAGTCATGAAATATGTTCTTAAAGCCCACTTTTTAATACCAGAGAAGCAGCAGGACCCTGGTGGCATCTGCCCTAAAGAAA